AGGACCAAGCCCCAAGCTGTGCAACTGACAGAGACAGGTGGTGAACAGCGAGATCCAACAACGTGTTAGCATCATGTCGGGGACAGCCGCAGCCGCCCTGCGAATGCCGTCATGAAAGTTCGGAACCGTGGGATGCTGTGCCATCTTCAATCTTGGGAGCCTCAGCTCTCTGAGGCTGCAGGGTGTGGTAATCCCCCTGACCGACCTGAGCTCGGCCTGCTGTTCAGGGAACCGCCCTTGAAATTTTTCTGTGCTGTGTGTCGCAGTGGTACTGTCTTGCAACAGGGACACTTTGAATAGAATAGAAGAATGCCTTTTATTGTCATTGAACATAGAGTATACAATGAAATTTGGAGGGCTTCTCCTGGTCAGTGCAAAAAACAAGTTTAAAAAAACACATTCAATACATCGTTAAATACCCATACAATACATAATAAACCCATTCTCTACCGCTCCACCATCGAAAGTGTACTGGCGTACTGCATCACAGTGTGGTATGCCGGCTGATCCACCATAATTAACCCCCACTCCTCCACTTATTGGGCCCAAAAGCCCCACAGCCCCCGGGGCCTGGCCAACTGGTCACCAAATCCAGAGGCAGACAACTGGTCCCCCGAAAAATGGCAAAGGGCCTACTGGTCCCCTGAATTGCAACGGGGGCAACTGGTCCCCCATTGCCTGGCCCATAACCAGACCCAAAGTCCAGCGGGCAACTGTCCCCCTTCACACTTTGGCTCTGGCCAGCAACTGACCTGACTTCTTGCCCGTCCGCCCGCCTGCCTCATGCGGTCTCCTCCGTGCATGCATGCATGCATGCATACGTGCATGCGTCTCTCCAGCCAGCCACTGCCTGCTTGCCCTCCCGCCCTTTGCTGGAGCTCAATGGGTACACTTGCTTTCCATGTCTACTGGAGGAGGACAGAGGGCCCCAGCCAAGGACCATCCGGTGGCTGGTTCCTTCCCAGGTTTCCCTGGGGATTGCTGGCGCTCAGAGTCTCGCAGGCCCAGACCATCTTGACCCATCCACACCAGCTGGCTGATGTGGAATGACAGCCCACCCTCCTGCCAGCCAGGCTTAGCGGGCTGCTTTTTGGTAAGCAGAACTGGTGCTGCGGGTTGAGCCCAACGCCAGGTGCCAGAGCCCTTGCCCCCGCCTCCTCCTCCTCCTCTCCCTCCTCCTCCAACTTGCCACCGCTCTGAAAAGGGTTTCCGCCCATTCTACTCAACATTCTTCTTTTATTTATGTGAGAGCGAAATCCGCGTGTTCTATTAATGAAGTGATAGGAGAAGATATACGGTCATTAATCCCTAGTATTATTAAGCAGGAAATTAATAAAGCATACAGAGCTCTGGGTCGAGATCCTCCTGTCCCTGACAAACAACAGAGTGTGTCAGTTTGCGAAGTCTGACTGACTATCTTTCCCTGACCCAGTCTTTTTATAATACAGAACATGGTAAAGTTTTCTGGGGCGTTGCTTTCTTCTGACCAGCTTCTTGATCTGACTCCATCCTTCCTTCACGCCCCTGTCGTCCAGCAGGTCCTCTTGGCGCCATGCGGTGGGCCCTGTTTTCTAAACAAAACTTACACAAACCATCTTGCACGTACACAAACCATCTTGCCCTTACACAAACCATCTTGCACTTACATTATCCATTATCTTTACATATACATGGTGATCGCGCCCTTGTCCTTAATCTTCCTATCTGCCATTTTCGTCATTCCCTTTATACTGTCAGTACATAACGTTTTTCCTTCTTTCAAAACATGCCTGTTCCCCTTGTCAATATCTCCTCGTGAGTTCCTCTTATCCTGTATTCCCATTATTATGTCTCTATTTACCATCCCTCCCCAGTACTTTTCCACTGTTGTTCTGTAATGTTCCTTATTACCCAAATATCATTGCATAGCACACTATTTTATTTTGCAAACTTATCATAAATGATTCACATAACATTTTATTGCATATGTACACTTCTTCCCCACCACCCTCTGTTGCCTAGATGTTACTTTTAAAATTCACTGTATATCTACATTGGTAAAGTGTTTGCGAGGTGCGATCCAGCCTGTAATGTCAGAGTGAACATTCAGTCACTGCGAGAGTTCCTTTCATTGCAGAGTTTTTTTTCCCCCCCGCCCCCCCCCCCCCCCACGCCAGGTTGTTTTGTTTGAGAGTATATATAATTTTGTTTGTTGAGTCACCAAAGTGGATTTGTTTTTGGAGTGGGGGGGGAGATGAGGCATGACCAAGTGTCGGATCGATCAAAGGAACCATGGCTACTTGATGTTCTTTTTGTTTTTGGGAGTGATCCTTTCGGCATCATGTCTCCACGTGCCACCTGGCCTTCTTTTTTGGGAAACAATAAGCCAAACAATAGGGGTCATTTAAAGTGTAACCCCAGTTACTGTCTTGTGTACTTTCAATTCTTCTGTGACTCTTGAAGTCCTTGAGAAGAGACTGTACGGCAAACAGAAAAATCCCATTCATGTCAATGATGGTAAAGTTTGTGGATGACTCCCATTTTGTTCTGGCAAGCAACTTCACATCTAATCACATATTAATGACACTGATTGTCACTGCGAGCCTTACTAGGACGACAAATAAACACACAACCTATGTTGAACTGAAGAATGTTATCAAGTATAAAAATAGCAAGACACTGTTACAATTTGCCTACCGAGTCCTCACTACTCACATGCACCTCCTAAACCTCCCAGGACTGCATGCAGCTGATATACACTCAGTTTGCTTACATACAATAAAAGAACATGATGATTACCATTACAATGGCTGCTGATTGTGTAGAGTAGTGGAGACTTGTTGCCTTTAACTGCTCTAACTACGCAATTGAATAGGAAATAGTCCTACCGCCCACATTCTGCTTGCTTCGGCAACACATATCCTAAAATTGGAACCATACAGAGAAGATTAGCATGGCCCCTGCACAAGGATGACTCGCATATTGGTGAAGCGTTCCATATTGTTGTTCCTGGTGCATGGTGATCCAACACTTTACAAAGGGCCATTTTCAATGAATTCAAAACAGGGTATATTTACAGCTGGGGAGAGATATGTGAATGAAGCATCCATTTATTCATTTCACATCAGATACATGCCACTGAAAGGAAGTTTTATCCACTAAACATGACTTTTTCTGAGCTGTGTTACATCAGATAACGCAAGAAAATCAAACAGTCGCATATGACTAGGGTTACATGTAAAATGACTCCTATGGCCTATGGGGTTATATCATACGCAAGTCCCAAACACATGAAAATCAGCCAGGATGCTGCTCACTGAGTGCGATGGATAAGGAAGCAACACTCGAGCTGCTCTTACAACTGTCATGTGGGGTTGCACATGAAGTGAAGTGCAGAAGGAACCCCATGCAGGTTTTTGCCCCCCGTCTCCGGTGCCATGATGAGGGGGTCAGGTGGGCCTCCCTGCTGGTGGAGTTTGGTAAAAGGCTGACCTTGAGGAGGGAAACCTACTGGAGAATGTGGGTGTTGATCCTGCTACCTCTCGCATACTAAGCGAGCGCTCTACCATTTGAGTTAACTCCCCGTTACCTACCGGGCTTTCTCCTCTGTCCCTTGGATCACTGCATGACCTTCTGAGAGGCAGACAAGATAGGGGGGCACTTTTTGGAATTGGCGCCCCCATCTGGCCATGAAGCCATTGGTTCCATGGTGTAACGGTTAGCATGCTTTCTGTATCCAGTGATGCGAGTTGAAATCTTGGTGGGACCTTTGCTCTTCAAGCCAGGATATTGCTCTCTGAGTGCAATGCATGGGAAAGCAATGCTTGAGCTACTGCTCTAGCAACTGTCATGTATGAGAAAGTGTATTCTTCCAATGACTCCTACTCTTTGGCTAATGGCTAGGGTTTAATTATAGTTAATCACTGACACATGAAAATTAGACCAGAAGTTGCTCTCTGAGTGCAATGGATAGAGAAACAAGATTTAAGATCCTGCTCTTGCCGACAAGTGAGAACATCCCACGATTGTGTGTAACTGAAAATGACCCGTATTGCTTCGCCGATAATAGCCGCTGCATCATATGTAAGTCCTAAAGACACAAAAATGAGTCAAGATGTTGCTCTGTGAGAAGGAAAATCCAACCATCATGTGTGAATGGCCCCTGTTGTTTGTGATAGTTACTATATAAGGTAACCAGGAACAACAATATGGTACGCTTCACGAATTTGCGTGTCATCCTTGCGCAGGGGCCATGCTAATCTTCTCTGTATCGTTCCAATTTTAGTATATGTGCTGCCGAAGCAAGCACAAAGCACCGGTAGGACGGGTTCCTATTTCAATGGCGTAGGTAGCGCAACCGTCGCAGTAACGGTTTCATGAGCACCCCTTCGATGCCGCAGTATCTGGAATTGTTCATTTTCAAAGGAAACGCGTCCCCACAGCTCCAACTAAAAACAAAGTGAAAAAAAAAAGCTTTCTACCACAGCTCATCAAATTCCAAAGGATTTCTTTTTCTGTCATTGTAACACACTTGCACCACACATTCCAGGGCACTCATGCACATATGCAGATTTCAGGCTACATCCACACTTCCTATTGGTGGCCTCAAAAGAGACAACGTGACATCACCATGATTTCAAATTATCCCAATCTTTTTAAACAACGATTGCCATTTTAGAAGCAACCTTATCAACTGTTGATGAATGCATGATCCACAAACTGCAAGATGTCAGAAAATTGTCTTTGCCTAAATATCCAGTCCAGATTCAACAGATCTTTTCAAGGACTTCAAGAGTCACAGAGAACTGACAGTACACAAGTCCGTTTTCAGATGTCTAAAGGTGGTCACCATCATATACAGGCTTTTTCTTGCAGACTAAGGACTTTCTGTTTCATGGCAGAAAAAAGGGTTTAGCGGATATAAACGGGGGGGGGGGGGGGGGGGGGGGGGTGTGGATGTCGATAACTAACTAACTCACACACAAGCCGGCCTCCAGGACAGGGAGGAAAGTGCGGGGCTTCATATGTCCAGCCCAGACATAGGCGGTGGTGGGGCCCCTGCCCAAACAAAGGCCCTTTTTAGAGTTGCGGCAGGGGGACCAGTTACACTGTTGGACTTTCGCTCTGATGACAGGAGGTCAAGTGTGTCACCTTGGAGGAGGAGGGGGAGGAGGAAGAGGAGGCGGGGGCTTTGGATCTGACAGCTGGCGTTGGGATCAACTCTCAGCACCAGCTCTGCTTACCAAAAAGCAGCCCACTAGGCCTGGCTGGAAGACAGGTGGGCTGTCATTCCATATCAGCCAGCTAGCGTAGACAGGTCAAGATGGTCTGGGCCCCAAGATCTCTAGTCATTGGCTTTACCCAGGTGGGCCTGCGAGACTCTGAGTGCCAGCAATCCCCAGGGAATTCCCTGGGAGGGAACCAGCCACGGATGGTCCTTGGTTGGGGCACTCTGTCACCCTCCAGTGGACATGGAAAGCAAGTGTACCCATTGAGCTCCAGCAAAGAGTGGGTGGGCAGGCAGTGGCTGGCTGGAGGGACGCATGCACGCACGCATGCATGCATGCACAGAGGAGACCACATGAGCCGGGCAGGCGGACGGGCAGGCAGTCAGGTCAGTTGCTGGCCAGAGCCCAAGTGTGGAAGGGGACCAGTTGCCTGCTGGACTTTGGTTCTGATGATGGGCCGGGCAAAGGGGGACCAGTTGCCCCCATTGCTTTTCAGGGGACCAGGAGCCCCCCTTTGCCATTTTTCGGGGGACTGGTTGTCTGCCTCTGGATTTGGGTGACCAGTTGCCCGGGGCTGCGGGGCTTTTGGGCTCAATAACTGGAGGTGGGGGGGCTTATTTCACGACAAATAAACACACAAATGTTAACTGTGCTGTGCTGAAGAATCTTTTCAAGTGTAAAAGTACCTAGACACCGTTGTGTACAATATGTCTCCCTTGCCAACTAATCACTACTCACAACACACCTCCTAAACCTCCTGGGACGGCATGCAGCTGATATACACTCGGTTTGCTTACATACAGTTGAATGGCAACCAGCACCGCTGGCAACCAACACCGGGGCTTCCCAAGTACCGTAGCGAGCTCGCTCTCATCGCGTCAAAATATAGCATCCATGACTATCATCTCGTACTCGCAAGCAAAAAGTAAAAAAAGAATAAATGCTGCTTCCTTTTGGTAAACCTTGGTCAAGTGGCTAGGCGTTGTTTAGAATAAACCATAAACATGAATAGCTGTGTACTTGTGAACAAGCTATTTGTTCACAAGCAATTGAGCAATTGAACAAGCAATTTTTTTTCCCCCCAATGGAATTTATATCCACTAAACCTTTCTTTTGTGCCATAAAACAGAGCGAAAGTCTTAAATCTGGCAACAACAAACCCAGTATATGATGGCCACCTTTAGACATTTCAAAACTGACTTGTGTAGGGTTGTGGGGATTGCAAGTATTCCATGGCCTGTGCAAGCATTGACGCACAGAAGTATGTAACAGTATCATCAGCATAAAAATGAAAAGTAGCATCTGACATATTTTCCTCAAGATTATTCATATAAATAGTGAACAAAAGTGGACCAAATACAGAGTCCACAGACCTAATCCATACACCCTTGTGGAAGGATGCAATATCAGAGCACTGGGACCTGTTACTAAGGCAGTTTGAGATCCAAGCGACTGTTTGCTCTGAGAGTCCTGAGTTGAAATGTATAAGTTTCAAAACATCATGGACAACTGTGTCGAAAGCTTTGGAAAGGTCAATGGAATTAGCTAATTTGCCTTATTGCAAAAAGAGGAGACCACAGCAATGTTTAAATGTAAATCTTACATTATTTGTGATTCACTTTCTGTTGTTTTGTATCCTCTGTGCCATTGTGGCTTTTGATTGCTTATTGCTCATTTGATTGGAGCCTGAAAATGCATGCTTCTCATTGGCTAATGCAACTTCACTGTGAGTTTTGCTTTGGATGAGAATTGCAGATGGTACAGGTTAAATTTGCCTAAGCGAACGGTACAGCACTACCTTAGAAGTTTTTTTTTTAGTAAAGAAGAAGAAAATGACAGGTGACATCATAACCATTCTCATGTATTATTAATACATAATATGTCCCTTATGTAACAAAACTTTGGCAACAGCTCAGCCAGTGTTTAATCTTCAATGAGACTGTTGCAGATAATTAAAATATTCTCGTTTTTGTAATATCATTTTTGCTATTATATAAATAAGATAATATTGTACATAACTGGATATTTTTTGCATTAAATATGAGTTACAAGTATATTTCTGTCTTTTTTTCTTATGATTATGCATGAATATAAAGAATGTAGGTGTATACCACCATCCTTCCTCTCCGAGTTTGACCATCCCCTTGAATTTTTGAAACATAAACACCTGTGAGGTCTTCACTGCCGTTTTCTCCCTGATGGGTCTGGCCTCTTCTCACTTTGTAAAGAAGTCTGCGGCTGTCAGACAGTATCACTTCCCCTTCTTTGATGTCTTGAACAGCCCAATGAGGTCAACATCTGAGTTTGTAAAGACAGACAGAGGAAACTCATAGCTCTAAATTTGACTGAAATGCTAACTTTCATATGATGAATAATCGTACCAATCATATTCCACGGTGCCACTAGTTTGATCGGCTTAACCTCTGGTGCCTCCCTCTTAAGCCGATCAAACTTTTGGCACGGGACACAGGTGCTGATCTACAAGTAAAGGCGCAGTAAAAAAAAAAAAGGGCTGTATTAAACTCCAGAAAGGTTTTGACTGAGGTTATAATTACACTGTACAGTTTGTATTGTAAATATATAAAAATGCTTAAAGATATACTAGATACGATTAGGCTGTACCACAGCTATCATTATAATACATTATACATTTACATTATGTATACAATATCATTGTAACACATTATAAGGCATTTTATGTCACAATAATAAAAACTATACAGTGCACATTTGAGACAGGAACTAATATGGATCAACTTACTAACCCATTACTCCACATCCTCTCTGATGTTATGCCAGTACGACCACTGCCTAATCTTCCCCACCACGCAGTTACGTCCAAAGTGGCCAGCGTGGACCTCCATGAGGATGGCCACCTTCTCCTCTTCAGAAAGTAAAACCCTCCTCAGGGACGAGCCATCCGTCCCCATGTATTAGAAGGTGTCACCTACAAGTAAGGAAGATAGTGATATTTAGTTGCTCCTGCTGTGATGGATCAGCTAGATCATTGGAGCTAGCTGCATTTCTCGTCAAGCTGTTAGCTCACTAGTTATCTATTCTAAAGAGTAGGACATTGTTAACGGTATCTACATTGACAACATCTAAAAGATTATTTGAATAACAGTGTAGAAATATGACATTTGTGGATTGAAATATGAAATGTGGTGTCAGATTGTAATATCACTGAGCATTAGATAAACTGATGTCTTTCCTCATCTGAGAAATTTCTATTAAATAGCGCTTGGCAGCATTAGCTACCAAGCTAGCTAGTGCTAATACAGCTAGCAATGTCTTTCGCTCATATAGCTGGCACTGTCTTTCTCTGAGGTAAATTTTTGGTAGTTAGCTAGCCATCC